TTCCTTCTCAAGTATGAGCACCACATTCACTTATATCATACTCTTATCCCCCCGATCATAAAATACGCCAGTGTCTTTGTTTTGTCTCAAGATGTACACCAGTATTGTAGTTTTCTAAGGCACATTTATGAAAATTACTTAAATGGCCTAATTGAACTATGGCCTAATCCTGTTTTAGTCTAAGCCCTGTCTGTGAAACCAGGCCTATAGGCCATAAAAACGTAATGTATCAAAAATATTATATGTTTTGACAAATATATAATTTAATAAAGAGGTTCAATAAACTATTGAAATAAAAATTACAATTAAAGAATATTCTGATTATTATTTTATTTTTATGCCAGGCTTTAAAGGGTTAAGGTGCTAAAAGATGTAGCCTGATAACCTGTAAACTTCTCTCTCTCTCTCTTTAAACAGCTGTTATTTCTTTGTTTTTAATTGCTGAACATACAGTTTTGAAACATATAAATCACAGGATTAGTCGTGTTTAATTGTGTTATTCTACTGGCACTCCTAGTTTCTCCCAACCTTTTGAATATTTTCTTGCATGGTAGTCCTTGGAGTCATAAAGACAGTAATAGAACATGTTGACATTTATTGCTCTGAGCAAATAAAGTACTATTTCTCCTATAATGAGCACTGGTCTCCTGTGTCCTGTTTTCATAGTCTGCATTAATACAATCGTGTAAATACAATTTCCTAAACGTCTCTTCATGTAATGCATACTATAAAATGAATACAAATAAAGTACAATACAATTCACAAGCAGAATCTCTCCTATTTCTTGACTAACTTTTGCCCAGAGTGGATTTTAACATAAATGGAAAGAAACAATAATTAAAATATACTTTTACACACTAATAAAAGTAGGCCCAATAAAGACATAAATGACCAAATTAAGTACGTAATTTATATTAAATTGATTCAAGTTTTATTGTTATATTTATTATTATTATTTACAATACCTGACCGATATTTATACAATCTTTTCTCGGTGGGTATTTGGCGCCCTCTAACGAACAGACAGCGAGTAGCATTAAATCGCCTTATTTTAAGTGACCAATCACAGCGCTCGTTATTAGCAGGCCAGAGAAACGGCCGCTGTAAAAAGTGACATTTAGCTGTCTGGTCACCGCAGCCCATCCGATCCAAACTAATTGTGAAAACATAGTGGTGGCACAAATATAAGCATGTCTTCTCTCAGGAGGACGGCGGGGGTCCTGCGAACAGGCCTGCAGCTCTTCAGACGCGGACCTCAGCAGATGACCGTCAGAAAGTGAGTGTTTATCAGCAGGAAGCTAACAGGCTAAACGTGCTGCTTGAATACAGTAAAGTCTGTAGTTTCATTCTTGGAAAGTCTTAATAATACTGAAGCAGCAGCGTAACGAAACTTACGGAATTAGTCAGGTTTATTAGTAAAGAATTAGATGGTTGCATACAAGTAGAGTATATAGAGGTTAGCTTTAAATAGAAGTTGGTAACGTTACCCTGGTCGTACCATGGTACAGTGATGGTATCAAACTGTAATACCTTGGCATTTAATTTGTACATTTATACATACAATGGTATTTGCATGGTACTCCAAAATACAAGGTTGTTGGTATTATTATGGTAACGTTACTTATCAAAACACATGCTCGTACCAAGGTAAAAAGCACGGTAACTTGTCTAAAAATGGATAGTACCACTGTACTTTGTAAATTTAGTTAATTGCATTGTCTAATAATAAAGCAAAATATACATTCTGCAAGATATGTTCTAATATAATGCATTTACTCATTATTTAAAAGGTAATTCCATGTTTATTTTTACTTGTTTGTTCAACGCAGATAAATGTTTGAGCTTTGTTAGAACAAGACGTGTAAAAATATCTTATGTATATGTTAAAAATAAATGTAATAATTTGTGACCGATGTAGGCAGGCTCCTGCAAGCCTCTTACATATGTTCTGGATTTGCCCGAGTTTGTATTACTTCTGGAAATTGATTTTTGATGCATTTTCAGGAATAATGTGTTTGCCAGTAGACCCATCTCCTTTTATTGCTATATTTGGCGTTACAGCACAAAACATGCGCTTAAGTAGCTATAATTGTAAAATGTTAGCCTTTTGTACACTACTTGCCAGAAGGTTAATATTGCTTAAATGGAAAGACCCCTTTCCCCCTAATTTCCTCCATTGGATTAAAGAGATCATGCAGTGTATTTTAAACTGGAAAAAATAAGATACTCTCTTCAAGAGTCTTCCCAGAAATTCAATGCAATCTGGCAACCTTTCTTGTAATTTGTTGAAAAATACAAGTAGGGAATACAATCCCAAAATATGTATAATTGTGTTTTTTTTGTCATCTTTGTATAATGTAATTGATACTTTATGTCTGATGGGTAAAGGGTTGTGGTATGTTGGTGTAATTTTGTTATTTCTTGCATATTATAAAATCTTGTTCAAAAATAAATAATGTAATACGATTACAGAAATAATTGAGTGTAATAAATATGAAGAAAATTTTTTTAAAATATTTAATTGGCTATTTTATGTACAATTCATAAATTAATTATTTTAGGTATTTTAATTTATTTACAAATATCCATATATATTTGTTCAGCTTATTAGTATCAGCATGTATCATGGGTTTTCATTAGCACTGCTAGCCATTACATTTCACGTACTTACCGGTAATCTTTCTGACGGTTATGTTTTAGGGCAGGAGGAGGCCCTCATATTGAACCCCAATACAGACAAACTCCTCAGCTCACCAAGAACCAAAAGTTTCAGGCAGAGCTGCTCAGCGGCGCCATGTGGTTCTGGATCCTGTGGCACATCTGGCACGACCCAGACGCCGTACTGGTGAGTGGAAACCGCATCAAAATAGATGAGCATTGGGATAAAATGCTACTGTTTTTAAACATTTCATAATAAACAGACTACCAGCCACTTAGCTAAATGTCTCTTTAGGGTCATTTCCCATGGCCGGACACTTCAGCATGGACAGATGAGGAGCTGGGAATCCCACCTGATGATGAAGAGTAGATTTGCCCTCAACAACCCAATGTACATGCGCATTTAAAGGGATAGTTCACCCAAAAATGAAAAATCTGTCATTAATTACTCACCCTCGTGTCGTTCCAAACCCGTAAGACCTTCGTTCATCTTCAGAACACAAGTTAAGATATTTTTAATGAAGTTCGAGATCTTTCACATCACATGGACTATTTTAACGATATCCTAACTACCTTTCTGGACCATAAAACTTGTCAGTTGTGTTGCCGTCTATGGGAGGGTCAGAAAGCTCTTGGACTTCATCAAAAATATCTTTATTTGTGTTCTAAAGATGAACGAAGGTCTTACGGGTTTGGAACAACATGAGGGTGAGTAATTAATGACAGAATTTATTTTTTTTGGCAAACCAGCCCGTTAACTCATTTACATACAGGAGAAATAGCTTATTTCTTCAGTGCGGTTACCTGGTGTTGCCACAGCATGCATGACTGATATTTCTCTTCTCTGCTTTGCAGATGTGCACCAGATCGCAAAACCCGCACATTTTCTGTAGAGGAAACTGAAAGTTCCTGTTATGTATATGGACTTATTATCAAGTCGAATTGTAAAAGTTGCATTATTAAGTATAAATAAAATCCATCAACGCTTCGATTTGTCAGAACAGTGTTTTATCACTTAACATTTGGTAAAGGGAGGGGGGAAAACAGTGTGATCTACAAAACATTTCCCTCATCTTATATATACATTGCATTGGAGAAATTCCATCACATCCAGAACTTTCATAGAGAACTCTGGGAAATTTTGAAACGGAGGAACAGAACACAGCATCTAAAAACACAGTGACATTAAGCCTATACCACAGTTGAAAATGGAAATGAATGCTAGAGATTAATAAATACTGTACAATTAATGCGTCAAAGCAAAGGAAACCTGTCTGAAAACCAGCTCCATTGATCAAATATGAAGGAGAAAGCTGAAAGGGTGCTTGTCTATATCAAGGTTAGTGAACGGAAACAGAGGAACTTTTTTTTTTTTTTTTTCATAAAACACATGCGTAAGAGCAAAACTCAAAACCGTAACAAAGCCTGAGTTTTCCAACTCAAGTCATCCAAAATAGTGCATTCGCTTTTTAAACCAACAGACCTCTTACACAACAGTCGAGAATAGCTGATCATAATCTGTTGGTGCTGCTCTATGCACAAAGTCCAACAAACTATGTAATATACTTCAGAGCGGGACACAGCTTTGTTCTGAATCTGGGATTTACGTCCACCAGACAAAAAAAGAATCAAGTAAAACAATTGGGAATATATACATTTGTCGGCAAACGAGTATAAAACGAGATTGTATGACAGTGCTGGTGATGAATTCAAAGATGTCACCTGTTTGATGTTCCCTGAGAAAACGTTTCATAGCCTCTCTAAGAAATTCGCACACAAGCACCACTTTGTCGTTGGTCCCGCTGAAATCCTTTTGTCCCGTTTCAACAGGTCATAAAGTCAACATAAAGCAACATTATTCAAACAAACTCGCTAAACATTTTAGAGGTAAATTGAACCGGAAAAGTCATTCAAATTTCTTTTAAGTAGCATTAAATGTGTTTACTACAAAATCCATAAAGCTTAACCTAAACAAAAGCTCATTCCTCTTGAATTGGCAACATTCAAAATTATACCCCTATTTACAAAACTATTCAATGCAAAGGAAAAACGGGAAACTCGATGCAATATAAATCCTTATAACTTTGAAATTAATAAGTTATCCAGTCAACAACAAAAAATCTTCCAAAACAAACAAAATAGAACATAAATTATGCAGAATGAGCGATAGATCATTGTCAATCACGTGACAAGCATATTTAGTCCTTGCAAACTACATCACAAACAGTATTTCAGAGGCGGCGCTCCAGGATGCAGTACCTCTCAGTGGCCACTGGGTTGTGACAAAGGCAAAGTAACGTGAGGCACCGCATTTTCCTCAGTTTTTTTCCCCAGTGTAAACGCAGTATTTCACTAGCTTTTGGAAGATATATAGTTAAAAATAATAATAATAATAAAAATAAACCAAAAAGGTTGACAAGAAATACTAAACTTTTTAAATTAAACGTTTTGTTTTTACAAAACAAGGTACAACTCCAATTTATTTTCCTCAGCAGAACTTGAACGGTATACAAAAATTACCTCAGAATATTCCTTTAAATCGCCTATTTAAGTCCGCCGGAGAATAAACAGTCAAATCAAGGAAAATCATGTTATATCTTTGCCACTTTTTGATTTCTTTTGATGGTTGTACAATACTTTCCACTATGAGGACTTCCTGCGCATCCTAAAAGTGCGGCCCACTAAATCATCAATACATCACTCACTGCTGTACAATTATTGCTTACAGGGGCAGAGGGGACTGGAGAAGGATTCAGCACCATTTCAAAAGCTCATACATCAGCCTGAGACAATCAAAGGAGAGAGAAATAGGCAGATTGATAATGACTTGCGGGGAATCCGAAGACCAATGTCGGGCTGTAGAGGGCTAAGAAGACGTCCTTAGCCTGCGAGCGCCAGGACACTCATGCTACAGATGCGGTAAGAGGTAGGGAGGGGAGAGGAGAGGCCTCAGCCCGCGGATACACACTTGCGGCTCGTTTCCGGAACACACGCTGCTCTCTGGACCTCCGACTATCCGTTTCTGTGCTTCCTCTTGAAACTCTTGGCTGTTAATGTTGAAATGCTGTCCAAAGTAAAGCAGTTTCCCTGTGCTGATGTTTGTATTTTGTGTGATTGGTGAAAATAAAGTGAGCCATTAAACATACCCTATCACCTAAACATATGCACAGTGAGTAAGAGAACTGTGTGTGTGATGATAGTCACAGCGTATTAAGAAAAGCAGCTGTGTTGATTTATTACACGTCTCGTTTTTTCCTCCGTCATGCTACAGGAATAAGCCTTTATGGTGGCTCATTTTCAATATCTTCCCAAGCCTCTGTTTAGCCGTCACCTGTCCTTTCTTAGGACGCTTTCCTGCAATAAAACCACAAAAACATGATATAAGCAAAAGCACAGTCAATACAAAAGTCAATACAAGCCATTTAGCTTGTTCTCTGAAAAACTGTCACGAACATTACTGTTAAGGCATTGCACACTGAGTCTGAAATTTTCGTACGTTGAAAATATAATCGCTAGCAAAGCATCAAACTGAGCCATTGACATCCTGAAGTAAACTTTGAATCGCCCGTGATAATCCTGCTGCTTCTTAATAAGGAGGCGGAACTCTCCTTCCTCTCTGTATCTTAGGTTTGGATGGACCTTTCTTTTTTTCTTTTTAAGAAGCGAGAGGACAACAAAATCATCCTCACTGCTTGAAGACTCCATTTAGTACTGTTTTGCTAATTTTTTCGCAACAGATTAATTAATATGCATCGGACTCAGTGTGCAAGGTTTCTGTGCGTGACGAATTTTTAGGATGACGAATACGAAAAGACGCATACGAAAATCTCGGACTCAGTGTGCAAGGACCTTTACTCCACAAATACACATTTGGAATTGGAATGATTTTGTGAACTCCCAAAAATGTTTTATTGGTAAATGTCACATAAGTGGGTTAATGATAAATTAAAATAAAAAACTAAATCCTTTAAAAATGTAGTTTAAAATGGGTAATATACTTAAATGTATTATTTGCATTTCAAATCATTTAAAAAAACTTATACCATGTTAAAGAAAAGTTTTGACAAATGTAATGCCTCTAAAACTGTCATGTGGTGTAACCATCAAGTAAAAACTAAAGACATTTTCTTTGCGCTCTGAATAAATGTGATTTAAGTGACTATTTTCAAAATCTCCCTTCACATATTTTTCAAGGCAAAAACAATTTTTTTTTAACAAATATAACTTTCAATATTTTTTCTTAAAAAAAGTTTAAGACAAAAATAGTTTCTACAAAAATATTCTCATACATATTAAAACAAATTATATATATATATATATATATATATATATTATACAATTTACAAATATCACTATAAACAAATGAATGCATTAATATAATTACATTTTTAGTGTAAATAGTTTCAACAAAAATATTCTCATACATATTTAAAAATTATATATCATATGTGACCCTGGACCACAAAACTTAAGTCGCTGGGGTATATTTGTAGCAATAGCCAAAAATACATTGTATGGGTCAAAATTATCGATTTTTCTTTTATGCCAAAAATCATTAGGATATTAAGTAAAGATCATGTTCAATGAAGATATTTTGTAAATTTCCTACCATAAATATATCAAAACTTAATTTTTGATTAGTAATATGCATTGCTAAGAACTTTATCTGGACAACTTTAAAGGCGATTTTCTCAATATTTACATTTTTTTTTGCACCCTCAGATTCCAGATTTTCAAATAGTTGTATCTCAGCCAAATATTGTCTTAACAAACCATACATCAATGGAAAGCTTATTTATTCAGAATTTTTTATAAATTTACACTTATGACTGGTTTTGTGGTCCAGGGTCACACACACACACACATTATTATTATTTAATATTAATAATGTGTTAATATTAATATTATTTGATTTGGCAAATAAAGGTTTTATAAGAAATAACAATACAAATACTATTATCGTTTCTATGATTTATTTATTTTTCTAAGAAATAGTAATGAAGGTTAGTCTGCTCACCTTTAGTGGCCTGGTTGCTGATGGGTGTGGTGTTGGGGGCGTGTCTTTTGGAGGGGTGGAGGGGAGGAGAAAGTGAGCTCTCTCTATATGAATACTCCTCTCCGAGACTCCCATCCTCTCCCTCCGGGCTGCGGGCTGCCGAGCAGGGTTCACTGCTGTCCCACGAGTCACTGCTGCTGCTGCTGCTGCTGTTACTGTTACCCTGACTGGACCACCAGTGCTGCTGTAAAATATCGCCCCCTGCTGACGCCCGCTGACACAGCAGCCCCGCCATAGACAGCATGCCCTGAATGGCATCATCTGTGCTCGGTGAGGTAGGGCGTTCTCTGTGGGAAACAAGATTTAAATTTTAGCACAAAAAAGAGAAAAAGCACTTAAAATGAGTTTCTCAGGTGTGTAAAATGAAGGGCAGCCGTACCGTTTTAGTGCTTGCTTATGGTGGCCGTGCTGCCGGCCGCTCAGATGCTCCACAAAACTCCCCGAGTCTCTCTTGCTTCCTCCATCCTCTTCCTCAGAACTCTCTGACTCGGAGTGTTTCTGTTTAAAGAAAGTGCGATAGAGAGGATTAAGATGGATAAGCCATTTGTCCAAGTGAAAATAAGTGGTTAGCTCCTGGGGAGCTGCTTGGACATCATCAGTACCTCAGCAGAATCTTCTGCTTCTGACTCCGAGTCGCTGTCTGAAGACGTTACAAGTGGCGACTCTGTCCTGAGTTCTGTCTGCACAGTTAGACCTGAGAGATGAGAGTCAAACACATTTCCTTTTACATTATGATCAATCACTGTTAACAGAAGAAAATGATGCTTTGGTCTGGCTTCAGTATTATGTAAGCATTCTGGCGAGCAAAAGCTAAGTTGCTCACCGTGATTGACTGGTTTCTGGATAGTGCAGTGCACTCTTAATTCATCCTCTCGCTTTTCTTTTTTCACTTTTTCTTGTTGGCACATCGACATTCTTTCCCATTTGATCCCGTGTTGATGGTACTGCAACATTTCCACTCCACTGACTTTGGCTGCCACATTACTGATCGCTAACCTCTCGCTGTGAGGAAGGAGGACACACTTCTTCATGAGATGTTTAGAATATTAAAAAGTCTTCAAAATATAACATTCATGTAATTACTGTATTACAATAAACAAATATAAATGAAAAATCAAATATTATTACATAAAATATCAAACATACCATTCAAATGTTTGGGGTTGGTAAGATTATTATTATTACTATTACTGTTATCATTATTAACTTTTTTTAAAAGAAGTCTCTTATGCTCACCAAGAATCAATTTATTTAAACAAAAAAATACAGTAAAAACAGTAATATTGTGAAATGACAATAACTGTTTTAAACCGTTTTAAAATAACGGTTTTCTATTTTAATATACATTTTAAAATGTAATTTATTCCTGTGATACAAAGCTGAAATTTCAGCATCTTCAGTCTTCAGTGTCACATGATCCTTCAGAAATCATTCTAATATGCTGATTTACTGCTCAAGAAACATTTATTATTTCAGTTGTGCTGCTTAATATTTTTATGGAAAGCATGCACATTTTTTTTCTTTGATGACCGGAAATATATATATTTTGTTACAATGTAAAATATTTTACCGTCACTTGTGATGAGTTTATTGTATCCATGATGAATAAAAATGGAAATTTCAAACAAATAAACTAATACACACACATATACAGTATATTATGACCCCAACCTTTTGAATATTAGTTTATAATAATAATAATAATAATAATAATAATAATGATGATAATAATAAATAGGTAAAGCTAGTATAAAGAAACTAGTATTAATCAAACTATATCACGTCAAGTATTAAGAGGTACAAGAGGTCAAATACCAACATTTTTGTAGTCAATATACCAATACCAGTGAAATTATACTAAATTCCACACTATTTAAAAAGTTCCCTAATATAGATGTCTACATGAAAACAATGGCATGTAACCATTCAATGATTTCTCAGTAAAGGACGCTCACCGCATAATTTTGCCGTTGCATAGCACCAGGCGCAGGGCGTTGTCATTACTACCCTCAACAGCTACTGCAGACACTGAAGACACTTTCTTGAGCTTGCCATTCACTTTGGAGCTGAAGGCTGGGTCCTGTTACAAGAGAAGAGAGGTGTTTTTATTGGAAATGAGTAATAATTGCATGCTGCTAAAGCAGTGAGCATATCCAATATCAAGGTGAAAATGTCCTCTACAATCATTTGATAGCATTGCATTACAGTCATATGATAAGGAATGATAAATGCTAATGACGCTATGGAGAACGGACAAGAAATCTGAGCTTAATGCTACAGTGCATTATGGTGGGGGGGGGACGCACTCACCTCCTCAAGAGGCCCGACCTCCAGTCTCTTTAATACCTCCAGCGTGTGAAGCTCCAGGACATCCAAGTTAGAGGGCAGTTTGTGGCTGTGATGATGATGATGGTGGTGAAGATGACGAGCGGCCCGCTGTGCCTGATATTCCTTCTCCAGTGTTGTGCGTGATAAAGAGCACTCAGCACTTCCCTGAGATTTTCCAGCTTTATTCGATTCATCCTGTTTAAGGAAACACAGCAAATCAATTTAACTTCTAGGAGCTGCTTTAGCAGCCATGTTGTGCCATGTAGAATCAGCCATGACTTTAATTGGCAAACATTTAAGTAAAGGAAAAAAAGAAACATTTTAAGAATTAAGATGAAATATATTTGACATGTTATTTAAAATAATTTATTTAATATAATTCTAATATAATATAATTCGGCATACAGAAAGAAAAAAATCCCATTAAGAATTTAATATATTTAATAATTATAATATAAATTTACTTTATAATAACATTTAATTTGCATAAAATTTTTAGGGATAGTTCACCCCAAAATGAAAATTCTGTCATTAATTGCTCACCCTCATGTTGTTCTAAACTTGTAAGACCTTCGTTCATCTTCGGAACACAAATTAAGATATTTTTGATGAAATCCGAGAGCTCTCTGACCCTCCATAGACAGCAATGCAACTGACACGTTCAAGGCCCCGAAAGGTAGTAAAGACATCATTAAAATAGTCCATGTGACATCAGTGGTTCAACCGTAATTTTATGAAGCCACGAGAATACCTTTTGTGCGCAAAGAAAACAAAAATAACGACTTTATTTAACAATTTCTTCTCTTCTGTGTCAGTCTTTTATCTTACTATCTTTCTGGGCCTTGAACGTGTCAGTTGTGTTGCTGTCTATGGAGGGTCAGAGAGCTCTCGGATTTCATCAAATATATCTTCATTTGTGTTCCGAATATGAACGAAGGTCTTATGGGTTTGGAATGACATGAGGGTGAGTAATTAATGACATAATTTTCATTTTTGGGTGAACAATCCCTTTAAGAATGACCAATTTAATCTCTGTAAAATGTAATATAATTCTAATAAAATTTAAATACAATTTTTTTTTTAATTTAAGCGTGGAGAATAGTGGCAAGTTACTCGGCCTCATCACCCTTTCAAAACAACTCAACTTCTTCAGGCTCGTCTTACCTCCAGGTATAGGATCTCCTTGGTCAGAGCTTTAATGAGACGGCTTGGCCTGATATGGTCTGGAACCTCACTGTTGGGTTGAGTCAACTGCAGAGGAAACACACAGTGAAAATGAGCTTGTACAACAGCCACAGGAGTTTTACCATAAAAATAATGTAATAGTCAAAGCAGACATTCTCTCACCTCCCGCCTCAGCCATGTCTTCAGTGATGAGATTAAAGCTTTCACTCCGTCCACTAGATAACCCTGAGCTTGACATTTATCCTCCCGCAGCTCTGAAACACAAACATGTTTCACTCTGAATCTTCATTTGATCATGATGCTTTATCTACAACTACATTTATGTAAGGAATAACTGACAACGGACCGTTGAATTATCGAAAATCCTGCCCTGGACTAAAGAACTGCATGAGTAGTCCTGTCTCACTCACCTTTAAGGGTCTCCAGAAGGTTTTTGGCCACATACCAGCAGATGGCCTCAAAGTATGGGAACTTAAAGAGATCTGGAGTCTTCAGTCTGCGTTCCATCTCATAACACCTAAAATGTGAATGGGGAGGTAGTTCAATTACAGCAGGAATACGTTTAGAAGCCTGAAATTAACTATAGTGACAGCAACAATCTAGAGAAGATTAATCAAAAGGTTTCAGGGTTTTACCTGAGCTGCATGCCTATGTTTAAGTTATGCAAGAAGTTCCCACCAAAGGCCATGGAGTCCTGAGAAGTGAGCACTGCATGGATCCAACCTGTAGAGGGCAACAGAGATCAACATTCAAGCCTTTAAGCAGACCTAGTTCATTTTCACTAGCTTGATCAAAAACAATCATTACTCATCATTTAAAATTATTGTATTTTTAGTGTTGTCTCTATATGTACGAGTTAGATATATTATTTTGATTAAACTGTACCAAGTTACACCACGTTAAAACACCCATTTCATTAATTAAAAATAAAAGGATAATACATTAAAAATTAATATTTAATATATTTAACATTTTAAATTTAATTTACATCATTTAAATGTACTTTAATTCAGGAAGTAAAAAATATTCAACTAAAATATTAAAAAACTTAATACAAACTATTAAAATCTTATTTAATAAAAATCAAAAGAAATTTTTTTAAAATATATTTTAAACCATTTAACTTAATTTTAAATTAGTGCTGTCCAAAATAAAAGTTTTTGTTTACAGAATATATGCGTGTACTGTGTATATTTATTATGTATATATAAATACACACACAATATTTAAGAAAAATGTTACGTTTATATATAAAATATATTTATATATGATATAATTTATATGAATATACATATATACATGTAAATATTTTCAAAATATATGCTGTATGTGTGTGTGTTTATATATACACATAATAAATATACACAGTACACACACATATATTATGTAAACAAAAACTTTTATTTTTGGATGCGATTAATCTTTTGACAGCACTATTTTAAATGTAATATTCTAATTTAACAAAATTGTAATTAAATCTACCATTTTAAATTTTATCCAGACTGGGTTAAATATTTCCAGCTTTTTAAATAAATAAAATAAAATAAAAACACACAACATTACTTACATTACAATACAAATATCACTTTCATATAGAACAACTAAGTGATGCTTCAGAGAATATCACAAGTTACTCACAAATTGAATTACAAAATAGACATAACTGTAATCCGTTACAGTTACCGAGAAAAAATAGTGTAATTAAATTAGTTACTTATGAAAACGTTAATGATTACAAAGGGGGTTACATCTTAATATTTTCTGTAAAAACTTAGAATATGTTGAATAATATTTATTTGTTGCTTTGCCTGATTTTAATGAGCACGAGGCCGTTTAGTAAAGCGATGCCATTCTGATGCTTTTGCCTGGTTCTCTTGTATGAATTTGCAGCACACCAAGTCTACCAATTACATCAATCCACATTGCTGCTGAAAGCTTTAGACTACAACCTGTGTAAAAGCTGATTAACTAGGAATTTAGAAATAGTTACACTAATTACATTAAGTAGGGTAACTTGTAATCTGTAACATTTCCAAAGTAACCTTTCCAACACTGTTCAGCCTTGACATTCATAGACGTCAGCAAAATACACTGTACACACACACAATTCACAACAGTAACTAGTGTGTATACAAAGACATACAAATACACATCAGCGAAAGCCAAATATAGAGTCATCTCACACCCACACCACACCGC